ATTTGAGACTTGTGAGCTGCTCAATTGCGTTTTTCTCGAAAATGGGTAAAATTATCGTGTTTAAACAAGAGTACCAATATTACGTAGAAATGACGTTTACATCATATTTTCCAATGAAAAATACTAAAAAGTTTTGTCAAAAAAAGCTACCACTTAATTTCATCATTAGTAATCATTCAAGTGGCGCCCCCCGTAACAAAATGAGAAATTATACATAAAATATTATCCCCTGTCCAAAGATATGCCTCTGTGCCGATTTTGATAACAATTCATTAATATAAAAAAAAAAAAACGAAAAAAAAAAATTCAACTTTAACGCCCTGTATCTTATTCCACAGCAATATTTTATTAAGGTATATTTGGCCCTGTCATCATATTTTTGTACAAATAACCTGCCCTTAGCCTATGTCCCAATAGTTATGAATCACCCTGTATAGTTATATAGATAGCTTAAAGCTCGGCTTAAAGCGGGTCTTTTGCGAGTGGCCATATTGTCCCGCAAATGCTCATTAATCAGAGTCGTTTTAGCAAAAATGTGTTTACCAACCAATTTTCAGCCTTTGGATATAGTAGAAAAATAGTGGTTTGCGCAACAAGAGTGGATATGATGGCCATATCGCACGAAGACGAAATTTGAGCACGCGCCGTAGGCTCAATCGTCTGAGTGCGATGTGGACAATCCACTCGAGTTGTACAGAATATTTTTTATATGACCCACTAACGAAAATAAATAAATAATTTATGACTTTTATAAATTTTTAAAATAAAATAAACGAAAAAGAAAAACGAAAAAAAGTTCATTTCATTTTTCCCCATCCGAGAATCGAACTCGAAGGCAAGAACGCTAACCACAGGTTCAGCTATTCTTTTATTTTTGTTGCATTAATACTCATAATTAAATTGACTTCATATAGTTTTATTTAAATTAACAAAATATTTATAATTATAGACGAAATAAAAACAGAAATGCTATTACGAGTATTATTCGATTCTACACAAGAATAACCCATTTTAATGTATGTTTAATCTCAATAACTAAAAAATATACTGACAATTAGTTTGACAGATTTGTCACTTATTTAAAATTTTAAAAATAATAGCAGACGGTTGATCAAAATATGAACGGTGATTGGTGGATTTCCCCCCCTTTATTATTATTCTGGGAGACTTATATTTTTTACCGTTCCATTTCATTTATTCCAAGTTCGAAGCACTGTCTTATAGCTTATAGCATTAGTCTTGACTTTTGTACTTAATTTTCACAACCGGTGTGAAGTTAGTAGACCAAACTCAGTAGACCGTTTTCCGAATACAACCGAACATCCAGTGGCGTCGACTCAATGAAAATAATCTTTTCAGGCTTGTATAAGGAAACTAATTATATAATTCAAAATTTACAGGAAAATATTGGTATTTATAGCTTTGTCTTAAAAGGGAAGTCATTAAACACCGGCAAGAGGAAATAAATTACCCTTAAATAAAAAATAATTTTATAATCAGCCTTATAAAAATCATTAAAAATAAAATTACAAATTTAATTTGTAAAATCACGTATTAAAACGTCTATAAATCTAAATGTTCTATAGGGGAGAAACCACCCTCCGTATTAGAAAATATTTTTTATAGCTAACCAGAAAAAATGGTTCAACTTAAAAATTACGCTAAAATTACTGTTTCATTATGTACAATCATATTCTAAAGCTGATATCATTTCGAGAGGTACTGTTTCGTTATGTAAAATTATATTCTTAAGCTGCTATCATTTCGAGAGATTGGAAAGGGTAGAAACCACCCTCTGAATTTGAAAATATTTTTTATAGCTAATCAGAAAAAATGGCTCGACTTAAAAATTACACTAGAATTACTGTTTTGTTATGTACAATCATATTCTAAAGCTGCTATCATTTTGAGAGATTGGAAAGGGTAGAAACCACCCTCCGAATTAGAAAATATTTTTTATAGCTAACCAGAAAAAATAGCTCAACTTAAAAATTACGCTAGAACTACTGTTTCGTTATGTACAACCATATTCTAAAGAGGGTGGTTTCTATTCTACCCTTTTCAATCTCTCGAAATGATAGCAGCTTTAGAATATGATTGTACATAACAAAACAATAATTCTAGCGTAATTGTTAAGTTGAGCCATTTTTTCTGGTTAGCTATAAAAAATATTTTCAAATTCAGTGGGTGGTTTCTACCCTTTTCAATCTCTCGAAATGATAGCAGCTTTAGAATATGATTGTACATAATGAAACAGTAATTTTAGCGTAATTTTTAAGTTGAACCATTTTTTCTGGTTAGCTATAAAAAATATTTTCTAATTCGGAGGGTGGTTTCTCCCCTATAAAACATTTAGATTTATAGACGTTTTAATACGTGATTTTACAAATTAAATTTGTAATTTTATTTTTAATGATTTTTATAAGGCTGATTATAAAAATATTTTTTATTTAAGGGTAATTTATTTCCTCTTGCCGGTATTTAATGACTGCCCTTTTAAGACAAAGCTATAAATACCAATATTTTCTTGTAAATTTTTAATCATATAATTAGTTTCCTTATACAAGCCTGAAAAGATTATTTTCATTGAGTCGACGCCACTGGATGTTCGGTTGTATTCGGAAAACGGTCTACTAAGTTTGGTCTACTAACTTCACACCGGTATTTTCACATCCTATTTTTGGAGCGGCCTTTTAAGTTATGTCTCCCGTTGGGCCGCTATTTTTGGATGCACACTATTCCATCCTTAGAAGTTTCAACTAATATTACCCACTTTCCTTTGATAACAATGAAGATTTTGATTTCTTTCGACAAAATTTCACTATGTACAGAGATGAGAATGATCGGAAGAACGTATTATATACCAGGTCAAATTAAAGTGTTACAGTTAAATACCGCTGAAAATATGCATTTTATAAAAAAAAATTTCAGACAAAACTTTTATAGTTTTTTAGGGGAAACATTCTGGACTTTTTTTTTCAAATTGGAACCCCATTTTTTACATATTCTTAAAGTTCATAAAAAAATAAGAAAGTTTTAAAGGAAATATTTTTTTTATTGAACTATTGCTTATTGAGTAACACCTGCTTGAAAATTTTGCTGCGCGAAAAAAAAGTAGGCCATATTATGGTTAGCTATAAAAAAACGATTTTAGCCAAATTTTTTCTCCAAAAAACTATAAAACTTACGTCTGAAACGTTTTTTATAAAAGGCGGTATTTAACTTTAATTTGAACACCCGGAATAGATTTGTCGGCGTTTTTTCCCCAGTTTTTTGTATTTTACTCAAAAACGATGCACTTTCATAAAAAATCTTACTGAACTTTTTTTTAAGAACAAACTATTTTCTATCGATTATGTTCCTACACATTTTTGCCATATTTCATGTTGTTGTCGCTAGAGCGCGCCCAAAAAATACAAATGTATATATTTTGCGGTTTTTCGCATTTTACGTGAAAAGTACGACTTTGGTGGAAAATTTCATCAGAACTAAGTTGTAGAACAAAAAAATTCTTAACGAACCTATGAAACAGATTTTCCTGAAACTCATCGTTACCGCCGCTACTGCTTATGCCCGAAAAGTGTGACTCGTTTTTTCAATAAAATCAATTAAATTTTTTCAAAACTGTCCGCTTGATTTAAAAAATGTAGATGTAACAACATTATGGATTGTAGAATTTAACTAAACATAGGTATTAAGTTTCTTTGTTTACGAACAATACGAAAAATTGAACAGTAACTTTCTAGTATGCGCTGCAGCAGCTGAAACGATGGGTTTCTGGAAAATCTGTTTCATAGGATTAATACGAAATTTTCCGCTCTACAACTTTGATTTGATGAAATTTTCTACCAAAGCTCGTGGTTTTTATGTAAAATGCTAAAAACCGCAAAATATATATTTGTTTTGGTGCGCTCTAGCGGCAAAAGTTTGTCAAAAATATACTTATCGATAGAAAATCGTTTATTCTTCAAAAAAAGTCAAGTAAAGTGTTCATGAAAACGCATCGTTTTTGAGTAAAATACAAAAAACTGGGAAAAAAACGCCGAAAAATGTATATATGTCTCGATATATGTATATATAATACCTTCTTTTGATTATTCTTATCTCTACGCATAGTGAAATTTTGTCAAAAGAAGTAAAAACTTTCATTATTGTCTGGGTCTCTATGCTATACTAAAAATTTTCGTTTCAGGGTAATTTTTCGTCTAATTCCGGTGGACTATAACACGAATTTTTGTTGTAAATTGTTGTTATTAGTAATTGTTAAGTTTTCTTTATTTTTCTGACATATTTTATGTCTTATTTTCTTTTTCTACTATTTTAATAATTTTCCCACATGTCGCTGAGCAGTTTGTAACCTTTTTGAAGTTTTTCCAGTATTATAGTTACATTTTAACTTGTCACATATAGGTATGAAATAACATTAAGATCGTTATGTACCTATGCATTTATTATTTACACCTGTTTCGTCTTATATTTCAGACCTGATGATGGCTTTATGCCGAAACCGATTTTGAGTTTTTCTTAAGTAGATCAGTGGCATATTGTGTCAATGATGGTAGGTAAAGTTTTTCTTACATGTAGGTACTTAAGTGAAATAGGAATGGTACCATCAATTATCTGCAAGTCGCACAGGAGCACCATGTCAAATAATGATAATAAAGTAATGTGGTAATAGTCATCCCTCATCCGTGAATTATAGGGAAATTAATATTTGTTGCCTAGAATGGAAATTAGGGACAAACATGAAACAGACAATGGTGAATGAACACTTTATTATATAGTTTTCTTAATAAACTTTCTATATGTATATTTTAAATGAAAATGTAATTTATTTTTAATCATTTAGGTAGGTAGAGGGCATCTATAATATTTACGTTTGCCTAAAAGTAGTATTAATAAATTGTAACTTTTTAAGATTAATTATTAACAACCAAACCGAAAATAAGCTTTATTTTTAATAATTATGACCTCGATTCCTTAATAATTTGTCCACTCACCATAGTTTTAACATTATTCTTAAGAACGCCATCGAACGCAACGCTTCTCTGGCTGACATTTGCACCAATTTTAACACAATTCCTAAAAATTGACAAAGCCATTTTTACACTTGATTGCAAATTGCAATTAACACCAATCAGTGTGTATATGTTCAATAACTGTTTCGAATTTCAACCGGGATAATTTGAAATAACACTCCACTAAAATAAGACAGTCGGATCGGAAAGTTTTTATTATCATATAACTCTTCGCAGTTCGCAGCACAAAGATTGAATAAACAAGAAACAAGCCGGTTGAAGCGGTCGGGTCGGCGCTCGGTCCTGGGTTCCTTTCTTGCTCCCTCTCTCTTCTACTCGTTGTGATTAGATTGGGGGTTGAGCAAAAATAGCGCGCGCACTTAAGTTTTGTCTGTTTTTGGAATTAATAAAAAATATGATAATTATATGTGTATATTCTCTTTACGTTGAGCCTAGTAAAGTACAGGTTTATTTACAAATAACATTTATTTATAATTTTTCAGAGTACCTATTCTCCCCATGGGCGAAGTTACGTCATCAGATCTGGGGGGGCTAAAGCCCTAGCCCTAGTCATCTAATATAATATGTAATAGTTCTAGTAGTAAGAGGTTTATTAAAGTTAAGTAAAAAAATTCTGGCTAATCTATAAGTATGGATAATATATCGTATATCATATATATTTATCTACTCCTATTAATTTATATATTATTTATTCAAGTGCTTTTGAGCAATTAATAGTATCAATAAACAAATAGCGTGAGTTATAATAGTGAGTTATTATAACTCACGCTGGGCTCCTACGATAATTCGGTATAAAAATAATGTGCGCAGTAAATTCTTGGAAATTTTAATATTGATAAATGTTCTATTGGCGTAAAATGTTAGAAAGATTTTTTAACAACTGGAAAGGAATGAATAATAATTAAAAGATTTTAAAATTATTAAATTGTCAACCCCTCTCAGTAGGCGGAACACTCAATTATTACATTGAGGGGAGTAACACCATGATTTTAACAAGGTAATTTTGACGTTTTCAAATCAATTTCTAATAATAGTGCTAAAAAAAGATAAATTTAGATAGTGAAGATGAGTTATTATGTATACCTCAAGAAATAAGAGAGATAATAATGCAATACAGAATTTATTACCAGAAAAATCAAAAAACAAGTATAAAGGTGTATACTAAAATTTTCAAGATTGGTGTAACGCGTTTACAGAAAATGTACTTTTGGCAATAAATATAAAGCATCGTCTCTATGGACTTTCTACTCCTTGTAAGAAGCACACTCAACATAAATAATGGAATTAATATAGAGAATTGTTCAAAATTACGTGCGTTTCTTAAACGTCAATCAGAGAAACATATAGCTAAAAAGGCAAAAACATTTATGCCAGAACAACTTAATAATTTCATAAATGAAGCTCTTCGCCTGCGGCTCGTGCTGCAAACTTCATCTGCGTGAGTTATGACCTGCATTTACCGCTCATTAAATAATATACTATTATATCAGGTGAATATACTGAAAAATTTTCATTACAAAAATTTCCTACATTTTGGAAGTCATGAAATAGTAGTTTGTGCAACAAGAGTGGATATGGAAATCCACTTGAGTTGTACAGTATATTTTTTCTACGCCACGCTAACGAAAATCTACAAATTTAAAAATTATTTTAAGTTAAGACAAAATAACTAATTTTAAAATAATTTATGAATTTTATTAATTTATAAAATAAAATAAACATAAAAATATTAACTTCTAGCCCAGATTCAAATCCGGGCTATTTGCATGGAAGGCAGATGCTTTGTCCTCAGCTCCACCGGCACTTTTAGGTTTTTCTCTCCTCGTTTAAGTACCTGGCTTCTCAGGGATTTATAACAGGGATTTATAACCGAAACAGAAACTGAATTTTGGCTCCTTTCTTAGTTTAGGCCGAAACCGAAATAGAAACAAAAACTTTCTTTTAGGACAATTTCTTATTCAAATTTGCAATATCTTAATGTAATCCTTGTTTTAGACTAATTATTTCATATTATAAATTTTAGCTACATTTACTTATTACCTATTTATTTATGTGATAAAATAAAGAAGCCATTAATAAATTTAATGACATAGTTTTTTTATTATTTTTTGAAATAAAAAAAAGCAAGTGAATTACAAAGTAGCAACCATTTCTGCATCAGCAAAAATAATATTATAAAGGGAATGTATAATTTCAATAAAAAAACAAACGAATTCAGCTGATCAAATATGTTTGTTACTTATTATTAAATTAATATTCATAAGTAAACAGTCTAACGGTGTAGGCTAGAAATAATATTTTTTTCATGTTTCCACCCAAAAAATTGCACTTCCGATCCGAATAATTTAGGCCAGGAGCACTGAAGACTGTTCACTTGGAACACAGCAGAAAAGTTTGTGTGTACGTGCACTGTGCAAGAATGGTACCCGGAACAGTCGCCATTGTGTCGGACACCACCAAGTATGATCGAAAACTCTCGAAAATATTTTCGCCTTCGGCTGCATTTTCGACTAGTTTTCCGCTGAAACCGAAACTGTAGTCGAAACTCTTATTTTAGGCCGAAGTTGGCCGAAACCATGACCGAACTTTCGGTCGGACACTACTTGCGAGTCTGGCAGGCCTTCGTGATTGTAAATGTCAGACAGACGTGTATTTTCACTTAGAATACCACTAGGCCTGAATTATTTTCGGAAATTTTTTCGAACTTATGAATTTTTTTAAAATATTCGTGATTGAGCAAAAATTTACTGATAATAATTTAGCCACGTCTGGTATTCGGTAAAAAAATTTTACACCAAAATATCAAAATTTTAAAACTTGAAGGCGTCTAGTTGACGCGAAATACATAATTATTATTTTACTTAAAATAAATGTAGTGTATTTCTCTAGCTAGTTATAATTTTTATTAAATAAAATATCAACCACTGAAATAGCAAATTTTTAATTCACACTATTGCGTTGCGTCAGAATATCATATGCATGAAAGAGCTTTTTAAATGTCAAAAAAAAATTTCAGTATAATTTCTTTAAGGTACGCGCCAAGAGAAAAATTTTCTCTGGTTGTCATGAAAGCGTTTTAAAATGACAGCATTTGATCGGCTATACAATAGAGGTGTAAAATGATAATATAATATAAATAAAAGCAAAAATATGATATTTTTCCGGTTTTGAAGATGTTGCCAGACTCATTTGCCAATTTCGTAATTCAATTGATTTGAAAAAAATTTAAGCCTGGAAAAATATCAGCCAATTTTTTTAATCCGAAAATTTTCAGTTAGACTCAATTTCCGCTATCTGATATAAGCCAGTCTGCTATTTTGATAAACTTTATGTTCTAGTGTAGTAAATGTAAAATATTTATGACTGGGAAAATAAGTGCCAGACTCAAAAATTTTGTTTTTGTCACTAAGAGAACATATTTTCATATACACCAACTGGAAAAATGTGTACGAAAAAAGTCACTGTCTCCTGGATAAAATGTACAATTGCAGAATTAATCAAATGGCACGATTATTTTTGTTTTTTAATTTCTGTTCTGAAATGTGTGGGTGTGCGAGAAATGTTCGAATTATTTTTGGGGGGGCTAATTTGATTTTTGGGGGGCTTAGCTCCCCCAAGCCCCCCCTTAACTTCGCCCATGCCTCCACGGTCAATGCATTTATGCTACCGTAAAAACCATTCTTGAAAACATTTTCTCCAATCTTCTAACCGTAAACCGTAGTTTGTTTATTACTGAGGCCCTTCCTATGGGTCCTCAGTATTACATTCGTGCAGACGAAAAAAGTATGTTACCCCCCATTTTTTAAAACTTTTTTTCATGTTTCCGATCATTCTGAGTCCGAAAATGCAAAAAAAATTTCGTCTGGTCGTCTGTGTGTATGTATGTCGGCACGATAACTCTAGAACGAAAGTTCTGATTGACTTGCGATTTTGATTTTCTTGAATAATTACTTCTAACTTAGAACCCTATTGATTTTCAGAATTTTCGGTTCATCCTAACTAATTTAATATCAATTTTCTTAAAATCCGCCTATGCATTTCTTACGTGACTAATTTTATGAATTTCAATCATTCCTAACGTCTAACATTCCTAACATTCTTAACATTCCATACATTGCAAACATTCTCCAACGACCTGTCAAAAACAGCTGTTCATTGTAAAGATGAGATTTCTAAGGCGGGTTGCGACCTTCACACTTGCAACCATAGCCATTTTGGAGGTTATTTTTATTCGAAATTGGTCTCCAAGCCTGCCAATTTATGAAAAATATATAAGCAGTTTCTTAAAAATGACTTTTTTACTTTCCTATCTGTATACAGATATAAGGAAAGTATAGGAATCATGATTTTTTTCGACCTCGAGTTTTCGACGGATTTTTACGTTTTGAGGTCCCCTGAATCCGTTTTGACTATTTTCGCGATGATGTCTGTGTGTGTGTGTGTGTGTCTGTGTGTCTGTGTGTCTGTGTGTCTGTGTGTCTGTGTGTGTGTGTGTGTGTGTGTGTGTGTGTGTGTGTGTGTGTGTGTGTGTGTGTGTGTGTGTGTGTGTGTGTGTGTGTGTGTGTGTGTGTGTGTGTGTGTCTGTATAACGCATAACTCATGAACCGATACACAAAAATACACCAAATTTTAAACTTAAGCTTTGTTTCAGCGTCCAATGAGCTGATTAAATTTTGGGCAGAGTCGGAACATCTGGGGGGGTACTTTATAGGTGGTCATTTTTATATTTTATGGAATATATCTGTTATTTACGTTTGGAGAAGAAAATTCTTCAAATAAAAGTTACTTCTAATATAATTATCTATAATTTTTGTTTTATGCAAAATTTTCCTAAAATGGTCCGTATTCGAGAAATTTGAGAAAATGTAAAAAAAATAATTTTTTATAAAAATTGTTCAAATAAAAGTTGTTTGTAATATAATTTTCTATAATTTTTGTCCTATACATAATTTCTCTAAAATGGACCGTATTCGAGATATTTGAGAAAATGTGTAAATTTTGAAATTTGAAGAAAACTCAAAAACGGATAAAGGAAAAAACATTAAATTTTAAACTTAAGGTTTATTTCGGCCTGATGTGAAATGATTAGATTTTGGACAAAGTCGGAACATCTGGGGGGGTACTTTATGGGAGGCCGTTTTTATATTTTATGGAATATATCTGTTATTTATGTTTGGAGAAGAAAATTGTTCAAATAAAAGTTACTTCTAATATTATTATCTATAATTTTTGTTCTATGTCAAAATTTCCTGAAATGGTCCGTATTCGAGAAATTTGACAAAATGTGCAAAATTCTGATTTTTATG